GACTTGGTGGAGGTGGTTGACAAGGGCAGAGCTGCAGGCTATTGAAGGCTCCTCTGCCCCTGCTGTGCTCTTTGCTTCAGCGTGAGCTAGGAGGCAGGTTTCAACCCCCCCCCTGAAATTTTCACCCCCCCCCCCCCGCCGAAATTATCAACCCTCCCCGAAATTTTTTTCTGGCTACGGCCCTGATGATAGGGGTCCTGCTTCTGATTGTTCCAGCCTTGGTCAATAGAGGGAGGAGGCTGAAAACATCTTCCTCCTTCCTCAGCAGCTGAACTAACATTTGCTCAGTGTTGTTCCTTTGCTCCCAAAGGGGACTGCAGGGCAAGGTATCTACAGATGTGCTAATAGTCTAACAATCGTTGTCTATATGTGATTACAGAGCAGTTACAAGAGCAATCACTCTAAGTTATGAAGCCATAATGACAATACATAACTGCCAACTATTGCAGGGGTTTTCATTCATGGTAGTTTTTGCTTTAGTTAGTGAAAAGGTGGCGATGGTGGTGGTGATAATGATGTCTGCCTGTGAGGGACTGCCTAGGCAACACTGGCAATGCTACCAGTTGGGCACATGAGGCTGATGTGTGAATAGTGGCTCTGGAGACCATGCTTAGTTCCCCATTGCAGGAGTTGTAGCAGCCCTGGTGAAGTAGTTGTAAGTTACCTGTCTACTTATGGCAACCCCATACATTTAATAGGATTTTCTTAGGTAAGACAGTTGTATTTCAACAACTTTTTTCCCATTTTTCTGAGGAAGGAAAAAGCTGTCTTAGTATAACTTAATATCTGCCCATTAAGCAATCAGTTGGACCTCAGTTCAGTGGCTTTTCCCATTTACAGTGGACCAATTGAATCAACTATTAATGAAAATTTATCTAACTCCCATACAATTATTATTATTCTGTTATTCTATTCTATTCAATTATTCTATTCTAACTGGGATTAGCCCTGAGTTATTTCAGGTGCCCTCCTCCCCTTCTCCCTCACACTGGTAAAAGTTCAAGACTTGTATTATTTGTAATGCTTTAAGTAACCACATAGAAGAGTGAGATCCTACACTTTTAACGTAGTCAAGGGTAGCTGTGTTGGCTAAACAGCAAAATTCAAACCAGTAGAGCTTTGAAAGCTCACATTGTATATTTCGTGCATTTTGATTGGCCAATAAAGTTATCACCCTATTGTGGAGTTTGGATTTGATTTAGTGCATGGCCAACATGGCTACCTATGAATATGTTTCTAAGAAAGGAGCAATTAGCTTTTAGCAATTAGCACCAGAGCCTACAGAAGGTTAAAGCACTGAGCTACTGAACTTGCTGACTGAAAGATCGCAGATTCGAATCAGGGGAGTGGCGTGATCTCCCGCTGTTAGCCCCAGCTTTTGCCAACCTAGCAGTTCAAAAACATACAAATGTGAGCAGATCAATAAGTACTGCTACGGCGGGAGGGTAATGGCACTCCATACAATCATGCTGGCCACATGACCTTGGAGGTGTCTACAGACAATGCCGGCTCTTTGGCTTAGAAATGAAGATTAGCACCAACCTAAGAGTCAGACACGACTGGACTTAATATCAGGGGAAAACCTTTACCTAATACAGAGATAACTGCATATCAAGGAAAATTATTTGTCAGTGGTAATAGAGTTGAGATAACATTATCTGTCTTTTATTGACCTATGCTCCTAGTCCTCATATGGACAAGAAGAAGAGTAATTTCTGCCTGCATTGAAATCCCTCAACACCGTGTTAACTGAGTAACATCTGAGACAAAACGTAGGCTGCAACTCCATCGCCTTTCTTCTCCTGTATAATTTGGAACATCTTTGCTTGATGAGGAAGCCTTTGAACCTTCAAAAGCTTGCACAATGTATTTCATGCTTTGGAGTTGGCCTAAAGAAGGTATTGCTGCTTGTGGATTTTGGATTTGGCACCTTTTAACAGGTTTTGGAGAATGACTCTCCAGCCTTAAGCAGCATGTCTTCATTTGCAGGCATTGTAGTGCCACCTATTGATCAGAAAACAACAAGAAGCAAACTATCCCAAATGCTCCACTATTGCATACTTTTGTCTTATCCTTTTGCAACCGTATTGATTCCAGTGACACTGTGAAACAAAACAATGCCTGCGTATGCTTTCCCATCTGTGTTTTTCAAGCTGGACACAGTTTATCTATGAATTACTGACTTACAGGTTCATGTGGAGTCGACATTTCAAATGCAGTGCACGGATGAGGCTGCCCTGGAATATGTCTGCTTTGTTGATCACAGCTGTTCCTTATCAGCACAGCAGAGTAAGGCATCACCTTTGAATGACCTTGTCGAGATAGCAGAGGAACCTGACTTTTGAGCTTTGAGTGCAAACATTTCAAATCAGACAAATGCATATGTCTCATGGGCTGGAGCCTAATATTAGCTGGCTACTGATGAGCAAAGTTAAATTAACCAGCAGAAACAATGATGTATTATGTTAATGATATCAAAAATATGAGGTATGTTCACAAAAAAGAAAATCAACATCCTACTGTGAACGATTGACTATCTAGGAGGCTCATTTTTCCCCCCTCTCTGGTCTTATCAAATCTAAAAATGGAATTAAAGGTTATCTTCCTGTCTCCTACCCTTTCTTCCTTACAGATGTAAACTAATTTGGCAGTCATTTCATTTCATCAGGAAACCTCAAGTGATAACGAAGCTATCTTTCCATTTAAGGCAATAGTTCTCACCCCTCAGAACTGCTTGTCAGGAGATACAGGCTTTCCTTGATTGAGCTGCCACTTTGACACAGAGCAAAGTAATGACAATTGTATGGCACGCCAGATACTGTCAGATTGTACTTCCCAGCATTCATCGCCATTGGCTATCTGCCTAGGAGTGCTAGGATTGCAATCCAAAAACAATTGAAGGACAGCATGATTCCTACCCTTGTCCTAGCACATCATCCTAGTCTTTCCAGTCATGGTCAAATCTTGCAATTTTCATGCACTACAACCCTATGGAAAAAAGAAAAAGGATCTCTGTTTTTCATCCACACTTAATGGAAAGCTTTGCCTTATGCAAGTTTGCCTTCTTATTTGTTTCCAATAATTACTTGTCTCTTCTTTTTAAAAAGGCATTTGCTCGTAAAAGGAGTATGGATTTTTGCCCATGGAAGTCGGGATCTTAGGGCTTTGGTGAAAAAAAAATGTGTTGTCTAGCCTATGAATTTTTATGTTAAATGGAAAAAAAACACAACATTCAAGTCCCCATGTGCTTTTCCCCATCTCTAAGACAGTGAAAAAGAACAGTATGTCATTTTGGTATGAATTGTCTGATTGTGAATAATTACCATTTAGCAATGAACTGAATATGTGCTGGTACAGCTGTACCAGTAGCTCCAACTTTATTTGCTTTGTATTGAATGTTTGTTTGCAGTCCTAGGTTAGAATAGGTCTCTTTTAGTTAGAACTAATGAATGGAGCACCGGTGGCGCCGTGCATTAAAACACTGAGCTGCTGAACTTGCTTACTGAAAGGTCACAAGTTTGAATCAGAGGAGCAATGTGAGCTCCTGCTGTTAGTCCCAGCTTCTGCCAACCTAGCAGTTCAAAAACATGCAAAATGTGTGAGTAGATCAATAGGTACCTCTCTGGCAGGAAGGTAACTGCGCTCCATGCAGTCATGCCAGCCACATGATCTTGGAGGTGTCTACGGACAATGCTGGCTCTTCTGCTTAGAAATAGAGATGAGCACGAACCCCCAGAGTTGGACACGACTGGACTTAATGTCAGGGGAAAACCTTTACCTTTACCTAATGAATAGATACTATTTTCATTTCTTTTTGAAAGATGTTGTCTGGCCCTGATCAGCTTGTGAAGTGGGCTTATGCCTAAAACATAAGCTAGTATTGGATTGTTGTAAGGTTTTTTTGGGCTATATGGCCATGTTCTAGAATCATTCTCTCCTGACATTTTGCTCGCATCTATGGCATCTATGGCAAGCATCCTCAGAGGTTGTGATGCAGGCGAAACGTCAGGAGAGAATGCTTCTAAAAAGCCGTATAGCCTGAAAAACCTACAACAACCCAGTGGTTCCAGCCATGAAAGCCTTCAACAATAAGCTCGTATTGCTTACATCATGAGAGCACTACTAGAAAACCCTATGGAAAGAGATTAAGAATCTTTATGAATTACTTTGAGCATTATTTGCACAGGAAAGAAGCAACACATTTTGTTGAACTTACACATAAAATAGTAAATCTGGACACTGTGACATGTGCAGAATGTTTAGTCAATAGTACATCAGCTTACTACCCAGAATAATGACCAGAATGGCCTTTGACCATGTCCTCTAATTACATTATTTTAAAAATGTGTCTTAATGTTTTATTGCTTTTTATTTTGTTTTAATTTACATGTCTGTTGGTTGACGGCATCAAATTGCTGCTGATTGTAAGGCCGCTCTGAGTCCTCATTGGGGTTGAGAAAGGTGGGATATGAATACAGTAAATAATAAATAAATAAGTACATTTAGAGCATAAAATCATCCCCTGCTTTTTAAAAGAATAAGATGCCCCCCATCCCATGTTATCTTTTTATCTTTCCTCACTGATATTTAGCATTTTATCCTTGTCTTCATTCCCTTTTCCACATGTGTTTACTTGGACTAGATGACCATTGTCTTTTGATGTCACAGTTAGCAGAGCTAGGCTGGAACTGTGCGGACTTCCAGAAGTTTCTCTGCATCTCAACCAATAGGGAGAAGTGCTAGGAGTTGCAGTCCACCTCGAATGGCTCACAATTCCCACTCCAAAGAGAGTATAAACAAGTACTGAATAAATAAAAAATAATCACAGAGTTTTTTGCAACTGGAAGAATCGCTAATTAATTATTTTAAAATATGGACTGAGTCTTGATTTCCAGTTATATTTGTAATCTAATTGTGATAATGAAATTGGCAACTAAAAGATTTGGGATGTACTCTGTGACACCTTTAATGAAAAAGAATAATTAATTGGACCACAAAGCTTCTTGTTGAACTTTAGAAGGCATTTTCTTACAAATTTATTTTGAAAAGACATAAAAGAATTCGTTGCTACATGGTCATTTTAATCCCCAATTAAACATTTCATAGTTTGATTCATTCCAGGAGTTGGAAATACAGTGTTCTACAGAAGCTCATTAGTTAAGGTGGCAAAAGCTGCCAGCAGTTGCCATTCAACAACGTTTGGAAGACTCTAGTATTCCCTCCCATATTTGGAAGCCTAATTCCAACACCTTCACAAGATTCCATTCAAGGGCAGGCAAGGCAACTATGCTCATCATATAAAATGGACTCTCAATTCAGTTAGGATCATACAAAACAGTAGGGAAGTGCTGGGAAAAATCCCATTTCCAGGAGAATACAGTGCTAAGATCACTGTTCGGCTGGGCTAATAAGTGAAGAAGCCAAAGATCCAGCTGTAACGCTAGCCTAAGGCGGAGAAACAAGGTCTTGATTAAAACTCCTCTTCAGCATTTCTGGAGCGTGAGCGCTTCAGCTGCTGCAGCCTCTCCACCGTTTCAGCCACAGTACGTTCACCATGAACCTTGTTATCTCTGGTGCGGATATTAACCGTTCCACTTGCCTTCTCTTTTTCGCCAATTACTAAAAACAGAACAGAGACAGAAAGAGTTCGAGTTACTTTTCACATTCAAGCAGCAGCACTGAGCAATGATACTATTCAGGAAGCAAGATCTGAAATAATGATGCCACACTCCTATGCCCGAGAAACATTGAACGTAGGGAATAATACATAATGTTTTGGGTAAAAGAATGTATTAAGGTTGGCAAGTTGAGAGAATGGCATGGAAGATAAAGGTTGAAAAAGGCATTTCCATACAAGAAAAAAAATGGAGTCTGTACAAATGAAGGAATGAAGAGTAAGAAATATACAGACTATGCAGATAGCTGTGCACACTTAAAAGGCTGTCAGAAAGTTGTTAAAGATCCTGGCTTGAATTCATTATGGAACTTATATCCACATAAATGGACTTACACCTGCAGGAAATAGAACTGATCAGTTTCACAATGCCTGAATTCAGCAATGGTTGCTATATTGTTACAGTAGAGTCTCACTTATCCAACCTTTGCTCATTCAATGTTCTGTATTATCCAACACAGTCTGTCTCCTGCCCAGATCCGCAGCTGTTCCAATACATTGCGATGTTTGGTGCTAAATTCGTAAATACAGTAATTACTACAGGACTGTACCATGTATTGAACTGCATTTTTTTGTCGATTTGTTGTAAAACATGATGTTTTGGTGCTTAATTTGTAAAATCATAATGTAATTTGGCGTTTAATAGACTTTTCCTTATTCCATCCTTATTATCCAATATTTTTGCTTATCCAACGTTCTGCCAGCCCATTTATGTTGGATAAGCAAGACTCTATTGTACTAAGGGAAGCAATCAAAGTGATCGTCGCTCAATGATACATTGGTCACTCATAATGTGCAGTGGACCTGATGTACAGAGAGCGTTCAGAAGGCACATCAGAAGAGAGGTTAAATCCTACTGATGGCACACTGGGACACTACCTAGGACAGCATTTCTCAACCTGAGGGTTGGGACCCCTGGGGGGTCGCAAGGGGGTGTCAGAGGGGTCGCCAAAGACCATCAGGAAACACAGTATTTACTGCAGGCCATGGGGGTTCTGTGTGGGGTACAGAATGCTCTTTGATTGTAGGTGAACTATAACTCCCAGCAACTACAACTACCAAATGTCTAAGGTCGATTTCCTCAAAACTCCACCAGTGTTCACATTTGGGCATATTGAGGATTTGTGCCAAGTTTCGTCCAGATCCATCATTGTTTGGGCCCACAGTGCTTTCTGGATGTAGGTGAACTTCAACTCCAAAACTCAAGGTCAGTGCCCACCAAACCCTTCCAGAATTTTCTGTTGGTCATGGGAGTTCTGTGTGTCAAGTTTGGTCCAATTCCATCATTGGTGGAGTTCAGGATGCTCTTTGATTGTAGGTGAACTATAACTCCCAGCAACTACAACTACCAAATGTCTAAGGTCGATTTCCTCAAAACTCCACCAGTGTTCACATTTGGGCATATTGAGGATTTGTGCCAAGTTTAGTCCAGGCCATGGGGGTCCACAGTGCTTTCTGGATGTAGGTGAACTTCAACTCCAAAACTCAAGGTCAATGCCCACCAAACCCTTCCAGAATTTTCTGTTGGTCATGGGAGTTCTGTGTGTCAAGTTTGGTCCAATTCCATCATTGGTGGAGTTCAGGATGCTCTTTGATTGTAAGTTAACTATAACTCCCAAATGACAAAATCAGTTACCTCCCAACCCCACCAGTATTCAAATTTGGGTGTATTGGGTATTTGTGCCAAATTTAGTCCAGTGAATGAAGATACATCCAGCATGTCAGATATTTACATTACGATTCATAACAGTAGCAAAATTACAGTTATGAGGTAGCAACAGACATGATTTTACGGTTGGGATCACCACAACCTGAGAAACTGTATTAAGGGGTCACAACATTAGGAAGGTTGAGAAACACTGACCTAGGGAGTGCTGATGTTCATCAGGATGCTCTTCCCAATGCCCTGATCTGCATCGTTGCAATTCACTAGGAGGGTTCCATTGTGCCTCTGCTACATGGCTAAGTATATGTGGAGGATTACACAGTGTAGAATAATATATATAACTTTATTAAATCTCACTATTCCAGCTCAGCACTGAAATAATTCTCTTCCAATAATATTCCCTGCATGTTTTCTAAGAATTGCAGGGCAACTGAGATGAGAGATAATTTAGGATATTGGAAAGACTGAGTTAAGTCACTTATGTTCCCATCCTTTCTATTCCTGTCTCTTCTTATTGTGATGGCTACAGTCTAAATGCATAAATCTCTATCAAATAACACACCTAATAAAATAAGTGGGACAAGCATGTTCAAGATCAGTGGCTATTTGCTTTTGAGAACATAAACACAAATACAATATGTGTAGATAAAGAAAAGCAGCATAAGCAAAAGAGGGCCAAGGATATTCCTCACGGATGGAACTGACACGGGTCAGAGGAACAAAAGCACTTGCTCCCAGTAATGAGGCAGACAGGGAAGCCCCAGGGGGAACTCTGCACTTACAGATCAGAGCGCTGCTGGCTAACAGAGAGCTTTGTAAGATAACAAGCATATGGGGCTTATACCCTCAGAAGAAAGCTTCAAAAATTACAGTGCACACATGACATTTAATGCACTAAATTTCATAAACAGGGACATTTGTACCTAAAATGAAGTTGTACTGTGCAAGCTGAGCATTTCTTATCTTCTTGTTCAGAGTACAGCCGGGGTCCACATCAACATCTGCCATTAACCCAGCATCATGGAACTGTTGCTTCACCTTAAAGAACATCAATGTGACAGCTTTAGGTTATGCTTCCTTGTGGTGAAATCATTTTAGCCTCAATACAAAGTTGAGTAAAACTCAATCTAAAGTGTTATCCCATAAGGACATAAGAAGACGCAGAGTTTACAATTAAAATAGACATTTGACATTGGCGTAGTAAGTACTTCGGACTTTCCCCCCTTGATATCCAGATGATTGCAGGGATTAATAATAATAATAATAATCTTTATTTGTACCCTGCCACCATCTCCCCAAAGAGACTCAGGGTGGCTCACAGAAGCACTCCAAGCGCCACATGCAGAAAACAATATATAAGTATAAATACAATGACATAAGTATAATTACAGTGCAGAAAAATCTCATTAATAAAATTATAAAAAAATATATAAAATTCCAAAAATGCAGTGGGATTAAAACAAATGAATTATGGATAGATATAAATATTTTTAAGACAGTGCCGCCAGTAAATGTTCATTATTCATGTGGAAACATAAACAAACATAAACTTTCACCAACGTATACACTACAAGGACATACAATGAAGGAAAAGTGAGAGACTGACTTATGACATGAACAATATAGTGCCATTACTACCTACACAAGTCCATAGTAGCAGAGGAAAGGCCCTGAGACCCAATATGACTAAATATATAGAGCATTTCTAAGTGGGGGGTAACATTGCTGCCGTTAATGTACATAATAGATAACAACTGAAATATTTATTCTAAAGTTAAATTAATTTAATTAATTGTTGTTCAAATTCATTATCTGTTTTTTCGTGGCTGTTAAAAAAGCAACACCTAGCTTTTGACAAGAGGAACTTTTTTGGTGGCAGTGCTATAAGAGAAAACAAACGTTTGCCATAATAAAAGGTGGGAAGGCATGCTTACTGGTTTCCAGAAAGAATGAAAGAGGAACTGACATCATAAGGGGCAGAGATGACCACCTACAAATAGTTTACTACACCGCAGCCAGAGGCATTCTTTGGGAAATACCCGAGGGCCAAAGAAGGATACAAACAAGGAAACAAAGCTAGAAACCTTTGACCTATCCTCCGAAAAAGCCATTGTTTACCACATCATCTGTGAAACAACTGGAAGACAGTGCAATGACAGGGGAAGAGAGGAATGCTACCAAATTGCAAAATATCACTAAGCTGAAGGAATACATGAAGATTTCCATGGGATGAGTAAATATCTCAGCAGTCACTCAGTACAAGTTTTTTAAAAATTATTTGGATGAGCATTAAGTAAGTATTTTGGCAAGCAAGCCAGAACATCTGCAAAACCATGATGCTACAAATCAGGTATGGAGGACACATGTGGTTCTCCGGATGTTCTTGGGCGTCAGCTTCTATGATACTTCAGCCCTTGGGTACGGAGACTAGGCTGAAGGAAGCATAATTTGACATCTGGAGGGCCACATATCTCCCATCCACATACACAATAAGCGAGTAGAGCAAGTCTCTTCTTCAATCATTTTTGAAACTTATCAAAATGTGCTACTAAATATGAAGGTGAATTTCTTTTAATTGTGAAAAAGTTCCATGCACAGAAAAGCCTTTTGGATTTGCATCTCTCCAATAGCTGACCACATCTATGCCACACAGACAGCAAAGAACATGTTGGAAACTAGGAAAAACTGCATCAGTGTTTCCCAGACTGTACTCCTCCAGTTGTTTTGGACTTCAGTTCCCAGAAATCCCAGACATCTTACCAGCTGTTAGGAATTGTGGGAGCTGAAGTCCAAAACATCTGGAGGAGCAGTTTGAGAAACTGTTATGTGTAACGTGTTATATCTGTATGTTTTCTGCTTTTCAAATGGAAAAAAGCCATGATTTACACTGAGCATCGGCAAGCTGTTGGGTGCACATTAACTGAGGACCAACTTGTGGTCAACACAGTGTCATATGTCATTTAGTTTCTGTTTGTGGTTTTATAGGCTTTATCTGAAAAATCTGAAATTAAGTATTTGTATTTCTTTATAAATCCTTACCTTCTGTGCATATTCATCACATGTTGGTCCAACTGGTACCACCATTACTTGCTGAGGAGACAACCAGAGTGGCCTTGTGAAAAAAGAGAAGCAAAGTAGAAGTATTAAATGTGATTATTATGGCATGTTGTGGTAAAACATGTGTATATCCTGTCTTTAAAGTTGTGGATATACCATCTAACTAGCCTGTGAGTCAATTTTATAAAATGTTATTAGAAAGCAAACATGATTGTGGGGGGGTCGGAGGGTTGTACAGATACATAGATGTATCGTTTACCGGAAATTATCATATATTTCCTTACACATGCAAGACACTTACATTCCCTAACTCATTGGTTCCCAACCTAAGGTCTATAGATCTCCAGTGGTCCCCATTAACTAAAATATGGTCCATGACCTCACCATTGCTACAGCATTGCAACAAGAGCGACTGATCTCACGAAACCCTCTTATAGTGCCAAGGCAATGGGGATGTTGGGAGGGGAGAAGCTGACTACCCACAAAAGGCACAACAACAAGTGTCCTGACTGCTGCTTCTCCTCCCTGTCCCTCCCCTGAGCAGAGCCATTCCATGTGGCACCTGGAAGCAGGGGTGCCTTGGTTTCTTCGTTTTTAGGTCTGTTTCTGGGGTTATTTGGGGTGCCAATTCAGAAAATTACATTGGATAGACCACTTCAGCTCTAGATTATTAATTATGGTTTTCTGTGGGCAAGCAGATGGCGATTACTGGATGGCATATGTTCTGTATCAGAAACTAGAGCTGATGTGTTCTATCCAATGCAATTTTCTGAACCAGCACCCCAATTAACCAAACCGAATCTAAAGTTGACCAAAAACTGATTCGTAACCCTTTTGGTACTAATGTTGGTCAAAGTGGTCCCTGGTCAAAAAAAGGTTGGGAACCACTGCCCTAACTACACCAGATTGTGGATTCATCTCCTGTTCAATGAAGTCGGTTGCAAATACAGGAAAACATGGTTTAAACAACCAGGAAAGAAGTACTGAAACCATTAGAAGAGGTGAGAATCAAGACTAAAGACCCAATATGAATTCACAATGCAAGAAAATGCAAAATAATCAATTAATTAGGCTTTTTGATACTTTCCATAGAAACTGCATGTTGTCTTTGTTTTTTTTTAATCCACATACATTTAGGAGCCCACTTTCCCAAAGATGCACTTCTGCTTTCATTATTCCACTGGTCCCATTTCAAGGAGAGCAGCTAATATTTTAGCTAAAATCTAGATTCTGGGAAACTTGACAGTATGTCAGTCATAGAAGCTAGTCAAAAATACAAATAAACGCTTTCAGCTCCTTCTCCTGGTCTTGCTGAAGGAGAATGGAGGGGATAAACTCTGGTTAAGGGGAGATAAGGAGAGACTAGACTTATTTATATCACTGACAGCCAATGGTTTATTGGTGTCACATCACAACCACCACGAAACTGAGCAAACCAGAACTAAAGCACATGTTAAATACCATTTGCCGCCATAGTTTTCTGTCAGGATTGCGATCATCCTCTCCACAGATCCCAGAATGGCACGATGTATAATCACGGGCCTGTTTTTGTCATTTCCATCATGACTAGAAGATAAAATGATATTTTGCAAAAAATAAAATTAAAAACAACATAAAGCGAGGAGTACATCAATAAAATAAAAATAGAAAATAGAAATTACATTGAGCAAAATATACTGCACGGTGCACTTACCTCACATATGTGAGATTAAATCTTATTGGAAGCTGGAAATCTAATTGAATTGTAGCACATTGATGGTATCGTCCAATGGCATCTTTAATCTGAATGTCAATCTATTTTGAATAAAATGAAATAAAACCAGTATTAGTACAATTCTCATGTTCAGCACCACATTACAATCATTTGAGGAAGGGCAATTACAGGGATGCATCTAACTCAAACCGTCTCTTGTCCACAATTCTACCTCCATAATATTTCCTTCTGACTGTCATACCATAACTTTATCAGCAGAGCTAAAACAGTGCAGTCCTACATTTTCTAAGGGGATTGCTGAATGTTGTATATACATATTTTTACTGCAAATTATGCTGGACTGCTTCATTACCCAAGGAAAAATATTAGATAGTCAACTGGACATTTGATTACTTTCTATTTTTATGCCTTAATTGGTCAAGCAATCGCTCAGTATGGCACTGAAGCAGAAATACACTCCTCTACTCCACCATTCAAATATTAATATGAAAATGTTATGAAACAGGCCTTTGCCTTATACAATTTAAATGCTAATTACATATTAAGGCCTAATTCCTGTGGTTACACCTGAATACAGTAGATCCACTAAAGTACCACTTTGTTGTTGATTCAACATTAAACAACTGACTCAATGTGTTAGTCTCAAGAGGAGACTAACCTAATTCTGTTAATGTAAAAACACAGGCTGCTCTCCATTTGGGAATACAATGAGACATTTCAAATCATCTCACAGGAACACAAGATACTGAACTGGAATTTCTAGAATGCAATGTCTCCACAATCACCATATATACTTATGTATAATTCAAGGGTAAGTTTGGGGGGCAACATTACAATTTTTGATATAACCCGTTGATAAGTTGGGAATCCGGCCCCCTGGTGGCACAGTGGGTTAAACCGCTGAGCTGCTGAACTTGCTGACCAAAAGGTTGGCAAATTCAAATCCGGGAAGCAAGCTGAGCTCCCATTGTAAGGCCCAGCTCCTGCCAACCTAGCAGTTCGAACATATGGAAATGTGAGATCAATAGGTACTGCTTCTGTGGGAAGGTAACGGCACTCCATGCAGTCATGCTGGCCATATGACCTTGGAGGTGTCTATGGACAACTGCGGCTCTTGGGCTTAGAAATGGAGATGAGCACCACCCCCCAGAGTCAGACACAACTAGACTTAATGTCAAGGGGAACCTTTACCTTTTACTAAGTTGGGAATTATTTCATAGAGCAGGAAAAGCACCAATGCTGCCACAGGGAGTCAACTGCCCCTGGCTACCATAGCCATCTCCCCATCCCGGCATTCAAAAAGATCAGAAGTAGCACCATGGCAGAGATAAAGAGATTGGTGCTTCTTTATCTCTGCCATGGTGCTGCCAGGTGTGGGAGTGTAGGAATTGACTATACTCCCACCCCTTTTGCCAATCTACTCAAGAGAAGGAGACGCTTCTTTATTGTTTTGATAAATTAATGTACAGCTGACCCATGGATAGGTTGACACAGGTTTTAGGAGTGGATTTTTTTTACTAATATTTCTAAACAAATGTATGTGTATACAAGTTAATACTTTTAAAAACAAGTTACAGACATATTATTTATCAGCAAAGGATTTTTTTTCATTCAATGAATTATCTACTAACCTTTGGTCCATAGAAAGCACCATCCCCAGGATTCAATTCCCACTTTTCACCAAAGTCATTCAGGCTATTTTCAAGTTGCTAGTGGAAGATAATACACAAATTCAATTGATGTGCCTTGCAAGATGACCTTAGTACATTATCTTAGCTACATAGGTACAGAATTGTAACTAGCTTTCTTGAATCCTATATTCAAAGTAGAAAATTCTGTCCTGCCTTGTCGGTTGGGATACTATTGAGAACTTTAGCTTTATCCTGGCAATGTTTCAGAGAATCCTAGAAACATAATCTTATACATAATCATGTACTGAATAAGCAAGTTAGTATACACTCTAGATCAGGCATGTTCCTACCGGCTGTTAGGAATTGTGGGAGCTGAAGTCCAAAACACCTGGAGGGCCTAAGTTTGCCCATGCCTGATCTAGATCAACTAACTTTCATGACACCATCCTGAAAATATGTTCTCAGGCATCAACCCAGAACCTACTTGTTTGTAAGTACAACCCACTGAAAGTAGTCCACTTTCTTTGTTCAAACTGTCACCAATAACAGAACTATCTCCCCCATGCACATTTTTCTTGTGCAACAGAGTTTTCCCTTTTCTTCCCCCCAAAGCCTCTTCCCCTGTATCCCCTATAAACTGTACACAGTCCCAGAGAAAAGATGTTGGGTTGCAAGAAACTGTGGGGATTTATTCCTTTGATGAAATTAAATGCCATTCTGCTGATAAACAGGTAGGCACAGGTTGATCCATCTCCAAAACTTTGTTTGCCACAACAGAACAGCTGGTTTGAAATTACTGTATTTACTCAAGTATAAGCTGAGTTTTTCAGACCTTTTTTTTAGGCTGAAAAAGCCCCCATCAGCTTATACTCGAATCAAGGTTATTTATTAATTTACTCGTTGTTGTTGTTGTTGTTGTTATATTTATTATTTTACTCTATTATTACATTTATTATTTTTCTCTATTATTATTGCATGTATTATTTTACTCTATTATTATATGAAACACAAGAAGATTACTACACAGCAAACAAGATCACTATGCTGGTTGTTGTATTGGAACACATGTTGGATACTTCCCGAGTGTCTAGGACTATGTGATGTATCAGCAAATAATGTGTGCAGATCTATTATTATTATTATTATTATCATTATTAAATGTATTATGTTAATATATTATTATTGTTATTACATTTACCTTATTTTATTCTATTATTATTATTATTACAGTTATTTTAACTCCATTTATTATTATTACATTTATTATTTTACTTTATTATTATTGTAATTATTAAATTTATTGTTTTATTATTATTACATTGATTAATTTTACTCTATTATTACTGGAAGGATATGTGAGCACATTTTCATTGAAGATTAGAATAATGGTTTCATCAGAGTTGGACAGTCTTATCTTAAATTACAGTTTTATGTAAATATTCAAAAACATTTAATCTACTGATGCCTCAATTCATATAATTTTTATTGGTATGTATTTTTATTTTGAAATTTACCAGTAGCTGCTGCATTTCGCACCCTTGGCTTATACTCAAGTCAATACGTTTTCCCAGATTTTTGTGGTTAAAATTAGGTACATCAGGTTATATTTGGGTCGTCTAATACTCAAGTATATACGGGTACTTCTTTTTATATTGTTAGGTTCTTTTTTTATTTGTGAAGTAGCCCCAATTTTTTTAAAAAAACCTCATTTTCAAGGGATGGAAGCACATCTTTAGAAAATAAATTAGTGGATACATAACATTAGAAATTATTTAAAACCACAACATCTGCCCAAGAATTTAACAATTACCTTCTCAGCTTGATTCCACACTTCAATGTCTCCAAGGTATTTTTCTGGACGGGTGGAGAGATTGAGTTTGAAAGAAAATCCAAACACATCATATACCGCACGCAAAAATTCCAGACAGTTCTTTATCTCCCCTTCAATCTGTACATGAAATGAAAACAGATGCAGTCAGAGCCTTTGCATTCTTTAGGATGCTTCCTGTGCCAAACAGATATATCGTCTTGTACCTGCTCCATGGCACAGAATATATGTGCATCATCCTGCTGGAACCGCCTCACTCTGGTGAGCCCTGTAAGTGTGCCCGACAGTTCATTACGGTGCAGAACTCCAAAGTCAGCCAATCGCAGAGGCAACTCCCTCCAGGATCTTGGTCGGTGATCAAACATGAGGCTGAAGGAAATAAGGCATGTGTTTAAATCCAGGACTCGACTGGTATGAAAATGTCAACAATATGCTAATTATTGTTTGCCAAGAGCATCAGGTAAAATGAAAGTAACTGACTGGTGTCAATGAAGTAGTCTGGACCAAGTAGCTAAAACTCATTACTATATTTCTCAGTTCAATATGAAGGAATGAATGTCAGAGTACGCAGGGTTGCTGTGAGTTTTCCAGGCTGTATGGCCATGTTCTAGAAGCATTCTCTCCTGAGGTTTCACCCGCATCTATGGCAGGCATCCTCAGAGGTTGTGAGGTCTGTTGGAAGCTAAACAAGTGAGGTTTATATATCTCTGGAATAATGTCCAGGGTGGGAGAAAGAACTCTTGCCTGTTTGAGGCAAGCGTGAATGTTTTAATTGGCCACCCTGGTTAGCACTGAATGGCCTTGCAGCTTCTAAGTTTCAAAGTCTGGTTGGTTTCTGCCTGGGGGGATCTTTTGTTGGGAGATGTTAGCTGGCCCTGGTTCATTCTTGTCTGGAATTCCCCTGTGACATGAAAAGGAAAGTGATGTGTATATTCTTGGTTCTCTGCCATTCATAAACTTTGTTATTCACTTCAACTTTACCTCTATAAGCTTAGGTCATAATGCAAAATTAAAGTGGGGTGGACGAGAAGCCAAGTTGCTTACTGTTTGGATTGTTCTATTTACAACAGTGTTCCCAACCTTTTTTTTTACCAGGGATCACTTGAACAGGGTCCACTTTGACCGGGGACCACTCTCCAGGATAAGTACCAAAAGGGTTACATATCAGTTTTTGGTCAACTTTAGATTTGGTTTGGTTATTTGGCATGCCGATTCAGAAAACTGCATTGGATAGACGACATCAGCTCTAGTTTCTGATACAGAACATATGCCATCCAGTAGTCGCCATCTGCTTGCCCGCAGAAAACCATATTTAATAAGCCTCAGGACTGTACAAGGGTTTCGCGAGACCAGTCACTCTCATTGCAATGGTGTAGTAACAGTAAGGCCGTGGACCATATTTTAGTTCTTGCGGACCACTGCTCTACAAGAATGGTCCATCAATAATTTGTTCAAGAAGAAAGGAAGCTACTGTAAAAGTTGCCCATAAGTTGAAACTGAAATGGAATCATTACCAGTGTCCAGGGCAGTTCATTGGCTTCAGAGCAAAGATTTCTTTCTCCACCTCAAAGGAAAACATGTTGTCACTGTAGTGCTGCCAGTGCCCAGATGTCACCCAAAGCTTGCTGTTGTAGACATTGGGAGAAACAACTTCCTGGAATCCTCGCTTTCGATATTCACTCTGAAAGAGAAGAACTAAAAATCGGATGCTTTCCACTGAAGTAGATAGATTTGGGAAGGGGAGACAAAAATGGAATGTGGTAACCTATTTAACTGTTTTTATTGTTTTGCATAAGCTTTTGGATGTTTTGCATCCAGTCCTCTCTGGATGTAGGTGAACTACAACTTCAAAACTCAATATCAATGCCCACCAAACCCTTCCAGTATTTTCTGTTGGTTATGGGGGTTCTGTGTGCCAAGTTTGGTTCAATTCCATTGTTGGTGGAGTTCAGAATGCTCTTTGATTGTAGCTGAACTATAAATCCCAGCAAATGCAACTTCCAAATGACAAAATCAATCCCACCCCCAACCCCAGCAGTATTCAAATTTGGGCATATCAGATATTTTTGCCAAATTTGGTCCAATGAATGAAAATACATCCTGCATATCAGATATTTATGTTACAATTCGTAACAGTAGCAAAATTACAGTTATGAAGTAGCAACAAAAATAATTTTGACTGGGGGTCACCACAACATGAGGAAGTGTATTAAGAGATTGTGGCAATAGTAAGATTGAGAACCACTGCCATAAATCAAAGTCAACTTGGCAACAGAAAGGAAACGAATGTGTAGCTAAAAGAAAAAAAATGAGCTCCAGCTATAAAACCAAAGAAGATGTTTTGATCCAATATGCTCTTTGATGCCCGTAGAGCATCACAGTACACATTTATGATGATACCACATATCAAAATCGATCTCTCAGCACCTGCCATCTTTATTCATTGGAGCAACCAAACTGTGTATCAAGAGAATATGTCCCAAATCAACAGAAAGGCATTAGGTTTGTACGAAGTTGACCAAAACCATACCTATGCTGTTGTCCAAAGCTTTCAAGACCAGAATCACTGGGTTGCTGTGTGACAAATACAGATCTATATGGAACTGTACTGTGGAATGGCTTAGACATAATTTTTTTGGACGAGATGGACATTGGAGGCATTGGTTCTGTATGTTTTAAATGGTTTTACTGTATGATTTTAGAAATTGGTTTTAAAAAAATTTAAATTATATACTGCATATTGTTACAGCATCAGGTTGTAAGCCACCTTGAGTTACCTTCAGATTTGAGAAAGGCGGGATAGAAATAGCGTCGATAAATAAATAATTTTTTCTGAGCTGTATGGCCATGTTCCAGAAGCATTCTTTCCTGACATTTCACCCACATCTATGGAAGGCATCCTCAGAGGTTGTGAGGTCTGTTGGAAACTACGCAATTGGAGTTTATATATCTGTGGAATGTCCAGGGTCGGAGAAAGAACTCTTGTCTGCTTGAGGCAAGTGTGAATGTTGCAATTGATTAGTACTGAATTGCCTTTCAGCTTCAAGGTCTGGCTGCTTACTGACTGGCGGAATCCTTTGTTGGGAAGTGTTACCTGGCCCTGATTGATTCATGTCTGGAATTCAACCAGAGACGTTAGCCATAGCAGAGCACTTCATGAACCAAACTGGACACAGCATATTATTTGAGAACACAGAAATGCTGGACCACTTAACCACCATGTCAGACTACATAGAGGAGCCATTGAAATCCATAGGCTGTGGACAATTTCAACAGAAAGGAGGAAAAGATGAAAATAAACAAAATCTGGCTACCAGTATTAAAAAAAAATCTAAAATCAGGACAGTAAATAAAGAGCAACACTCAGAAAACAGAGGAATTCCAGATATGAATCAATCAGGGCCAGCCAACACCTTTCAACAAAGGATCCCCCTGGGCAGTAAGCAGCTGAAAGACTATTCAGTGCTAATCAAGGTGGCCAATTACAACATTCAAGCCTTCCTCAGACAGACAAGAGTTCTGTTCTCCCACCCTGAACATTTCACAGATATATAAACCCCACTTGCCTAATTTCCAACAGACTTCACAACCTCTGAGGATGCCTGCTATAGATGCAGGTGAAACGTCAGGAAAGAATGCTTCTGAAACATGGCCATACAACTCAGAAATCTCATTGCAAGCCATACCTATGCTGTATTGTGGGGGTCAACTGAATCTTGATAAATATTCTGTTTTTTTACAATCTTCAGAAGGTAGAAAAAAGAAGTAACTTATTGGGGTATACTAGTCAGCTCTCCTAGGATGGATGGGCCATTATACTATTATAAATTATTTCTTAACCAAAAATATTTTTTAAATACTAGTCAACTCCCCATGCCTAGAGGGCTCTGGTGTGTGCCACAAGTAGTGCAGACTGTGCTAGAAATATGTGGCCAAGCAACATTATTAAACTAGAAGCTCCAGAAAATGACTGTACATACAATAATCCAATATACAGCAAGACCATTTTCTAGCTTCTGTGTCTAGACTTACCCTGATAAATTCTATCAATGTATTGTAAATATAGGCTCCCTTTGGAAGAAAAAAACAGCTGCCAGGGCTCAGCTCATGGAAGAAAAACAATTCTTGATCCTATTGAGAAGAGAGAAAGAGAAAATCAGGACAAAACAAATACAAAAACCAAAATGAGATATTCAGATCCAAGAAGTGAGTCTCACCCGTCCAATTTTTCTGTGATCTCTGTTCTTTGCTTCCTCTTGAAATTTCTCCCACTCTTTTAGCATTTTTGCATCTGGGAATGAAATTCCATAAATTCTCTGCAAGCTTTCCATATCAGATTTCCCTTCCCAATATGTTGAGGAATTCTGGAGTCACAAAAACAGTTTCAAAACAGTGTTACTGAAGAATTATGAATTTTAAAAGGGTAAAAGAAATCTGAGAAGTTATATATTTGTTACATTTTAATGACATTTGAATAAAGGGCTTGGGAGGCTGGCTTCACTTTTCTCAAGTGTGATTATTTCCACTCAATTAGTCACTTTGAAGAAGAGTATCCTGGCTTAAAGTGACCAAGAAATCACTGCGGTAAATTTTGTCCTACGTGCCTATATTTCTGATAATTGTAGTGTGGAGTTGAACTTTGTTAGGGCATGTAAGAAATCAGTTGGTGAGTGTGTTAACTGTAAAATGCACAAAGCTGATTGGTTCGGCCACACCCGGGGAGCTAGCTGAGCCTGAGAGTTTTGGCAACAGTTACATTTTTAGGCTTGAGACAGTTTTTGCTTCATGAGCTGCTGGAAGAAAATTTTCCACATGGACATTGAAATACTATTTAAATCTCTCTCAAAGGACATAGTGTGAATCAATGCAACTGCTCACATGATTGTATATGTGTCGTTCTGCATTACAAAGAGTAAACTACTTGTTTTTTATTGACCATCCGCATGGCATATTTTCTTTCTCTGGCAAGACAGGGTGTGGCCTGATAAAACATGAACTACGTATGATTTTCATTATGCCACAAACTTCTTACCTTATGAACTTTTAATGCCTTTATTTTCCCAGTATGCCTTACATGAGGTCCCCTGCAAAGATCAATCAAAGGGCCACACCTAAAACGCAAGAAAAACTCATGAGCTCCTGAAATACTTTGTGACATTAGCTTTAAGAGAATTTGGGTCCAAATTGATTTTTACCTGTATACAGTAGTGGTTGGAGTTGTGACTTTTTCATTCAAGATCCGACATTTGAACTGGTTGTACTGCAGGAAAATTAAAAGAAGTGAACCATTCTGTGGTCATTCAAGATCTAGCTTATCATCTATTAATTGGAGCTCCTGGTGGGGCAATGGGCTAAACCAGTGGTTCTCAACTTGTGGGTCCCCAAGTGTTTTGGGCTACAACTCCCAGAAATCCCAGCCATTTTACCAGCTGTTAGTTGAAGGCCAAAACATCTGGGGACCCACAGGTTGAGAACCACTGTGTGAAACTCTTGTGCCTAAAGGTCAGCGGTTCAAATCCGGGGACCAGGATGAGCTCCCATCTGTCAGCTACAGCTTCCCATGCAGGGACATGAGGGACGCCTCCCACAGGATGGTAAAACATCCGGACGTCCCCTGACCAGCATTCTTGCAGACAGCCAATTCTCTCACAACAGAAGCAATTTGCAATTTCTCAAGTCGTTCCTGACACTAAAAGTATCTATTAATTATTTCTCTCCATCATAACCAAACCATCTAAAAACATACTTCCAAACAGAATTAATTGGGTCTCCGTCCTAGATGAAATCATCATTCAACCTTAACTTTAAGGAAAGGTGCAGTGTAGTATCTATACTGAGTTTATGACATAACAGTTACACAATATCTTTATGGCCCATTTCAGGCAAGAAAAATAGGGTTCAATATGCGAAAACTGAATCTTAGAATGGATCCGTCACATAATATGCAGGCCTACTATATCTTTAGCTAGGGGATTAAGGTAGCAAGGTATGTGGGCCCACTGATAATCAGAATTGGCAAAAGAGAGCCGCATAAACCCAGAGTATACATTGAGCATGATCAGGAAAAGTACAAAGCTGAAACACAACTAACTCTACGATTAATGATTACAATCTATACAAAGCTATACAATTACCTTAAACATTTCAAGTAACGTTTCCTTCTTAACTTCTAGTCGCTCAAAAACTTGCTTTTCCTTCATAATTTTCTTGCATAATGATTCTAGAGCAGGAAAATCATTGCTAGAGACACACCTAGAACAGACAAAAACTTAGTAAGGACTGGACTTGTTGTTTACCCAAGTTCTGCTATCTCCAAGCCTTCGTCACAAGAATTTTCTAAACAAGAGGGTTTCCTTTCAGCCTTCGAGCTGAGAAAGGAAGTATATAAATACGGTAAATAAATCTATATAAATAAAAATGTAATGTTCGTTTGTGATATTCACAGAACTCAAAAACCACTGGGGGAATTGACACCAAATTTAGACACAAAACACCTAACAACCCAATGTATGTCCTCCACTCAAAAAAATTGATTTTGTCATTTGGGAGTTGTAGTTGCTGGGATTTATAGTTCACCTACAATAACAGAGCATTCTGAACCCCACCAACGATAGAATTGGGCCAAACCTCCCACACAGAACCCCCATGTGGGCCACAGCAATGCGTGGCAGGGGACGGCTAGTAAATAAATAAATAAACACGGACTGGACAGCAGTGGAAACAGCTGATGAACCCAAATCAAGTCTACCAGCCATTCTGATATTACAAGAAATTTAACATTAAAGCATGAAAAATCTCACCCATTTTCCACGAACATATCGTAATAAAATCCATTCTCTATTGGTGGACCGTAACACAAACAACCGCCATATATTCTTTCCATAGCTTCACCCATTATGTGGGCACTTGAATGCCAATATACCTAATAAGAGGGAGAAAACAGAAACAAACACATCAGGTTGCCACAAATACACTGCAATCCAGTACCAGTTTTCCTCCAATGAAATATAGGGCCCTTCTAAGACTGTTGTATAATCCAGAATAACAAAGTAGATAATACACATTATCTGCTTTGAACTGGATTATCTGAGTCTACACTGCCAGGTAATCCAGTTCAAAGCAGATAATCTGGATTTAAACAGCTGTGTAGTACTTGGCATGCTACCACATCTAAGTACTAATCAGACCTGATCTCACTTTATTTCCAAGAAAGGCCAGGATCTGTTAAACACTAATAATGAATTTGTAGATTACCGCTTGTGCTTCTTCGTCATCAAACTTTAGGAGTTCCAAGGTACAATCTTTCTCCAAAGGACGATCTAGATCCCAAACCACTTTGTCCACTCGAGCAATCACGGTGTTGTCTGCCAAACCTTGACTATAAACACAAAACAAATAATCATGTACGCCGCCTGTATACAATAAAAAGCAACTGACTCCTACATACAAATGTTACTACGTGTAACTCACTCTAATGCACTCCCTAAGCAGCGAAGAAATGAAACAAATGGTACTTTGCCTAAAAATGTATATTCAGGCCTTGTTTACAATCTGAATAATTAAAATCAGTTGGAAGATGTGTATACGTAAGCTATAGTTATGCTAAGCAGTGAATCAAAGTCCAACCCTCCGTATCCAAATCCCTACAATCCCCCCTTAGCAGAAGCAGTTACTGCAACCAATGGGGGGTCAGGAAGTTGATTTTTTTTGTCGTGTCAGGAGCGACTTCTACCTTCTGGACAATTTCATGGTCCAGAAGGTAGAAGAGGCAACAAGGGGATTGGCTAATCTTGATCTCATCCTAACAAATGCGGAGGACCTGATCGATGCGGTCGAAGTGGTAGGATCCTTAGGGGCAAGTGACCATGTGCTCCTGCAATTTGAGGTACAAAGGAAGGCCGAAACTAAGACAAGTCAAACCCGCATTTTGGACTTAGGAGAGCTGATTTCCAAAAAATGAAGGAAACACTGAGCAGCATTCCGTGGACACAGATACTAAAAGACAAGGGAGTTACGGATGGATGGGAATTTCTCAAGAGTGAAATACTCAAGATGCAATTGCAAACCGTGCCAACAAAGAGAAAAAATAGGACAAGTGCAAAGAAGCCAGAATGGATGTCCAAAGAACTTCTAACTGTGCTAAGACACAAAAGAGACATGCACAAGAAGTGGAAAAAGGGAGAAATCACCAAAGAAGAATTCAAACAAATAGCCAACACCTGTAGGGAAAAGGTCCGCAAGGCTAAAGCACAAAACGAGCTCAGACTTGCCAGGGACATTAAAAACAATAAAAAGGGCTTCTATTCTTATGTCAGTAGAAAAAGGAAAAACAAGGAGGCGATAGGACCTCTTCGAGGAGAAGATGGGGCAATGCTGACAGGGGATAGGGAAAAGGCAGAACTACTTAATGCCTTCTTTGCCTCGGTCTTCTCACAAAAAGAGAGTCTTCAACCTCAGCAAGATGGAGTGGATGAGGGTTTGGAGGACATCCAACCCCAAATTGGGAAAGAAGTCGTCCAGGAATACCTGGCCGCTCTTAATGAGTTCAAGTCCCCAGGGCCAGATCAACTACACCTCAGAGTATTGAAGGAACTAGCGGAAGTCATTTCGGAACCATTGGCAACCATCTTTCAAATTGGGAAAGAAGTCGTCCAGGAATACCTGGCTGCTCTAAATGAGTTCAAGTCCCCAGGGCCAGATCAACTACACCCCAGAGTATTGAAGGAACTAGCGGAAGTCATTTCGGAACCATTGGCAACCATCTTTGAGAGTTCTTGGAGAACGGGAGAAGTTCCAGCAGATTGGAGGAGGGCCAATGTGGTCCCAATCTTCAAGAAGGGAAAAAAGGATGACCCAAACAATTACCGTCCGGTCAGCCTCACGTCGATACCAGGCAAGATTCTGGAAAAGATTGTTAAGGAAGTGGTCTGCAAACACTTAGAAACAAATGCGGTCATCGCTAATAGTCAACATGGATTTATCAAAAACAAGTCATGCCAGACTAATCTGATCTCTTTTTTTGATAGAGCTTACAAGCTGGGTAGATGCGGGGAATGCCGTGGATGTAGCGTACCTGGATTTCAGGAAGGCCTTCGACAAGGTCCCCCATGACCTTCTGGCAAGGAAACTAGTCCAATGTGGGCTAGGCAAAACTACGGTGAGGTGGATCTGTAACTGGTTAAGTGGACGAACACAGAGAGTGCTCACTAATGCTTCCTCTTCATCTTGGAAAGAAGTGACAAGTGGAGTGCCGCAGGGTTCCGTCCTGGGCCCGGTCCTGTTCAACATCTTTATTAATGACTTAGATGAAGGGTTAGAAGGCATGATCATCAAGTTTGCAGACGACACCAAATTGGGAGGGATAGCCAATAGTCCAGAGGACAGGAGCAGAATTCAAAACGATCTTGACAGATAAGAGAGATGGGCCAAAACTAACAAAATGAAGTTCAACAGTGACAAATGCAAGATACTCCACTTTGGCAGAAAAAATGAAATGCAAAGATACAGAATGGGGACGCCTGGCTCGAGAGCAGTACGTGTGAAAAAGATCTTGGAGTCCTCATGGACAACAAGTTAAACATGAGCCAACAATGTGATGTGGCGGCAAAAAAAGCCAATTGGATTTTGGCCTGCATCAATAGGAGCATAGTGTCTAGATCTAGGGAAGTCATGCTACCCCTCTATTCTGCTTTGGTTAGTCCACACCTGGAATATTGTGTCCAATTCTGGGCACCACAATTCAAGAGAGAGATTGACAAGCTGGAATGTGTCCAGAGGAGGGCGACTAAAATGATCAAGGGTCTGGAGAACAAGCCCTATGAGGAGCGGCTTAGGGAACTGGGCATGTTTAGCCTGAAGAAGAGAAGGCTGAGAGGAGATATGTTAGCCATGTATAAATATGTGAGAGGAAGCCACAGGGAGGAGGGAGCAAGCTTGTTTTCTGCTTCCTTGGAGACTAGGACGCGGAACAATGGCTTCAAACTACAAGAGAGGAGATTCCATCTGAACATGAGGAAGAACTTCCTGACTGTGAGAGCCATTCAGCAGTGGAACTCTCTGCCCGGAGTGTGGTGGAGGCTCCTTCTTTGGAAGCTTTTAACAGAGGCTGGATGGCCTCTGTCAGGGGTGATTTGAATGCAATATTCCTGCTTCTTGGCAGGGGGTTGGACTGGATGGCCCATGAGGTCTCTTCCAACTCTTTGATTCTATGATTCTATGACTTGAGAAACTGCAAGTCGCTTCTGGTGTGAGAGAACTGGCCATCTGCAAGGAGGTTGCCCAGGGGACGCCTGGATGTTTTGATGTTTTACCATCCTTGTGGGAGGCTTCTCTCATGTCCCCGCATGAGCAGCTGGAGCTGATAGAGGGAGCTCATCCACGCTCTCCCCAGAAGTTGATAACTGCCATTTCCACTACCTCTCATGAACAATGATCAGTTTGACAGAGAAATCCAGTACCTTTGTCACAATTCCCCCTCATGCCAGCAATTGCTTGTGTTTATGAAGTGGCACCCTCAGCCATTTCCTTCTTCCTCTACAGAGGAACAATCCCTGTCTACAGCAGCTGCCCAATAATTAGGGATTGAGGTATTTTCACAGTCCCTACATAGCCTATAAAGACATCATAAAAGGGAAAGGTAAAGGCGTCCCCTTGACATTAAGTCGAGTCCAACTCTGGGAGGGGGTTGTTGTTATTCATTCAGTCACTTCCGCCTTTTTGTGACCTCAAGGACCAGCCCATGCCAGAGCTCTCTGTCGGCTGTCACCACCCCCAGCTCCTTCAGGGTCAAGCCAGTCACTTCAAGGATCTCATCCATTCATCTTGCCTTTGGTGGGCTCCTCTTCCCTTTTCCATTTTCCCCAGCATCATTGTCTTCTCTAAGCTTTCTTTTCTTCTCATGATGTGGCCAAAGTACTTCATCTTTGCCTCTAATATCCAAGGCGCTCTCAGAATGTTCCTCCAACACCACAATTCAAAAGCATCTTCCTTCCTTCGCTCAGCCTTCCTTATGGTCCAGCTCTCACATCCGTACGTTACTACGGGAATACCATTGCTTTAACTATGCGGATCTCTGTTGCCAGTGTGATGTCTCTACTCTTCACTATTTTATCCAATTGTGCTCTTCTCCATTTCTAAGCTGAAGAACCAGCATTGTCCGTAGACACCTCCGAGGTCATGTGGTTAGCATGATAAACGGGTGACACTCACAGTGGTAATATTAGATATCTCTGCACTTAGCAGACCAAATGCTAGTTTTAAAAGGTAATTTTTGTAAGGTATCTGTTTTTCCTACTAATATGTATCACCTAAGCACATCAAGTCAGATACTTGGGCTTTTAAAAGTGATGCCTCTCAAATATAACACACTAAGTCGAACAGCTTAGTGTGTTATATTAAGAGAATTCCTGTTATAAGCAATTTTGAGTATCAGATAAAAACTGACAGTGAGTTTAATGCTTCAAAATGGCAGGAGAGGAAGAGACTCTGCTAACATAATGTTAAAAATAAACACATGTCTTTGCAACCCTTACTTTCAATTTGAATTCCCCAACAACAAGCTCACCTGATGCCACAGGCAATTTGGTATGGCGTTGTCTTCCAGGACTCAGCATCAACTTGCTTGCCATCCGGTAAAGTAACTTTAATGGGGTGGCTTTCTTTAGCAGCACGTTCTGCCAGAAGCGCATCATGCTCCGCTTTCAGTTTATGGTACATTTCTAGGCGCTGGTTAATAAATTCTGGCCAGGGACTCAACTACAGTTGGACAAAAAAAGATTTTGAGAAAGAAAATTCTGTGGAAGCTGGTCTTGCAAAATATGTCAAACCCATCGCGGTTACATTTATGACCTCAATTTGAAGCACCAATCCCTGTGCACCAATCCCTGTGCTACCTATCCGACCGCATCTCTGCCTATGAACCCACCAGGACTTTGAGATCTTCCGGGGAGACCCTGCTCTCGATCCCGCCTGCTTCTCAAGCTCGGCTGGCGGGGACGAGAGATAGGGCCTTCTCGGTGGTGGCTCCTCGGCTGTGGAACGCCCTTCCTACGGACATTAGACTAGCACCATCTCTAATGGTATTCCGCAAAAAGGTGAAGACCTGGCTGTTTGAGCAGGCGTTCGAATAATTAGTGCAATGATTGGTTAATGAACACTGGAATGGAACAATGGATGATGAATCTGGAACATGTTTTTGATGACGAGACGACAGTGAATGGGTACTGTAGTAACTGTTTATTAATTGTGTAATGTGTTAGGTTGTTAACTGTTTCTATACTGTAGCACTGAATTTTTGCTGTTCGTATTTGTTGTGAACCGCTGTGAGTTGCCTTCGGGCTGAGAACAGCGGTATATAAGTAAGGTAAATAAATAAATAAATAAATAAATGGTTTCATCTACATGTAAGACAGAAGTAATGGCATGTTAAGGCAAACATTACACTGTACTGGTATGTTGAAGCAAACATTATAAGCATCTTGCAAGGCTGAGAGAGGGAAATAGAAAATCCGCTGATGGCAGCAGAAGGCTTGATGTATCATTTGTATTGAAAGTATGAAAGAATCATGTTATGATTTTATAGTTTTTATTTATTTTATTGTATAACATATATTGTATTGTATGTTAATGTTTGTTGTAGCATTAAATTATTGCCAATTTGGAAGCCGCTCTGAGTACCCTTTGGGGTTGAGATAGAGCTGGGTAAAAATACAGTACAAAAATAAATACAATATAATATATCTATCATTATATTATATTACACACACACACACATCCATGTGTATGTATGTGTGCATATATTATACATTTATATATATGATAGAAAAATATTATAATATATTATATATATGATAGAAAAATAATACACACACATATACATACACACATACATACATATATCTGTATTGTATTGTATTTTTATTTATTTTATTATTGCTGTACTGTATATTGTTGTATATTGCTGTATTGTATATATATACACACACATATATGTCTACGTGGGGTTGCCTCTGAAGACTGCTCGGAAGCTCGAAATGGTCCAACGATCAGCAGCCAGGATGCTAACAGGAGCGGCACTCAGGAAGCATACTACTCCTCTGTTGCGCCAGCTCCACTGGCTGCCAATTTGCTACCGGGTACAATTCAAAGTGCTGGCTTTAGCCTTTAAAGCCCTAAACGGTTCTGGCCCGACCTACCTGTCCGAACACATCTCCTCCTATGAACCAGTTAGGACATTAAGATCGTCTGGGGAGGCCCTTCTCTCGATCCCGCCAGCTTCACAAGCGTGCCTGGTGGGGACGAGAGACAGGGCCTTCTCAGTGGTGGCCTCTCGGCTGTGGAACATCCTTCCTACAGAGATCAGGTCGGCCCCCTCCCTGTTGGCATTCCGGAGGAAAGTGAAGACCTGGCTTTTCGAACAGGCATTCGACTAGGCAGTGTAATCGATTATTGGAACATGGAATAAAAGATAATGAGACTGGATTCTGATATATTGATGAGACATGATGGATTTGTTATATTGATGTTTGATGTTTGTTGTTTAATTAATTGTTTACTATTGCTTTAAATGTCCAATGATTTTGTACTATGTATATTGAAACTGTGTTGTTAACTGCTCTGAGTTACCTAAGGGCTGAGAAGAGCGGTATAGAAATAAAGTATATAAATAATAAATAAATATATAAATATATGTATGTAGTGTATGTAGGCTGGGGTGAAAATTGCTGGAAGAAACATTAACAACCTCAGATATGCAGATGACACCACCCTGATGGCCGAAAGCGAGGAGGAGCTGAGGATGCCTTCTAATCAAGGTGAAAGAAGAAAGCGCAAAAGCCGGGTTGCAGCTAAACGTCAAAAAAACCAAGATTATGGCAACAAGAATGATTGACAACTGGAAAATAGAGGGAGAAACCGTGGAGGCCGTGACAGACTTTGTATTTCTAGGTGCAAAGATTACTGCAGATGCAGACTGTCCAGGAAATCAGAAGACACTTACTTCTTGGGAGGAGAGCAATGTCCAGTCTCGATAAAATAGTGAAGAGTAGAGACATCAGACTGGCAACAAAGATCCGCCTAGTCAAAGCCATGGTATTCCCTGTAGTCACCTACGGATGTGAGAGCTGGAACTTAGGGAAGGCTGAGCGAAGGAAGATCGATGCTTTTGAGCTGTGGTGTTGGAGGAAAGTGCTGAGAGTGCCTTGGACTGCGAGAAGATCCAACCAGTCCATCCTCCAGGAAATAAAGCCCGAATGCTCATTGGAGGGAAGATACTAGAGACAAAGTTGAAGTACTTTGGCCACATCATGAGGAGACAGGAAAGCCTAGAGAAGACATTATGCTGGGGAAAGTGGAAGGCAAAAGGAAGAGGGGCCGACCAAGGGCAAGATGGATGGCTGGCATCCTTGAAGTGACTGGACTGACCTTGAAGGAGCTGGGGGTGGTGACGGCCGACAGGGAGCTCTGGCGTGGGCTGGTCCATGAGGTCACGAAGAGTCGGAGACGACTGAACGAATGAACAACAACAACAAAATGTATGTAGAGAGACAGATATGCCATACACACACACACACACATATCTCTCCAGAAAACACAACAACTTTTACTTGCAGAGAAAATCAAGGCAATGTATTGCCTGGTAAACAGGATCAAGATCAGGGTGTAAAATGCAGTATCTTCCCTGTGTCTGGCTACTTACCTCTGCGCAGCCCCCATTGCCAGTTTCCTCCTTGCATTTCTTCTTTCCTGGTTCTTTCTTTTTCTCCCCAGAAACTGCAACCTACAAAGAAAAACGACTGAGGTGTGTGTACAGCAGGCTTGGGCCAACTTGGGCCCTCCAGGTGTTTTGGACTCCAACTCCCACAATTCCTAACAGCCTGCCGGCTGTTAGGAATTGTGGGAGTTGGAGTCCAAAACCTGGAGGGCCCAAGTTGGCCCAAGTCAGCTCTAGATGCACCCTACGAGTCTGGAGGTAGCCTCCTCCCCTTTACCTGTGCCTCTGCCTCCATCCTCCCCGCCTGGACCCTCCAGACCACGCCGGCAATGACAGCACCAGAAGCAAGACCCGGAACACGCCGCCCGGCTGGGATGAGTGCACTGCGCAGGCGCGGCAGCTGATGCAACCAGGCTCCACGTGGCTCGCCCTGCGTCACTGCGAGGGAGCGGGGCGTGTGGCGTCATCGCTTAGGGCTGAAGGGAGTTGGAGTCCAGTACACTTCCCCAGGACTGGTATCAGGCGCGCATGCGTGGAAGGGGCATTCCCTGGAAGGGAGACACTTTCATGTCAGTCCCAGGTGGAGATAGGTTGCAAACCCCTTCTCAAAATATTGGAGCTGCGCTTTAATTAATAAAGAGCTAGATATATTACCTCTCTCTATCTATCTATGTTAGAGAGATAGATAGATGGTAGACAGAAAAATAGTATATATATATATATATGAGATATATATATATATATATATATATATATATAAATTATAATATCATAGAATCAAAGAGTTGGAAGAGACCTCATGGGCCATCCAGTCCAACCCCCTGCCAAGAAGCAGGAATATTGCATTCAAATCACCCCTGAAAGATGGCCATCCAGCCTCTGTTTAAAAGCTTCCAAAGAAGGAGCCTCCACCACACTCCGGGGCAGAGAGTTCCACTGCTGAACGGCTCTCACAGTCAGGAAGTTCTTCCTCATGTTCAGATGGAATCTCTCTCTTGTAGTTTGAAGCCATTGTTCCGCGTCCTAGTCTCCAAGGAAGCAGAAAACAAGCTTGCTCCCTCCTCCCTGTGGCTTCCTCTCACATATTTATACATGGCTATCATATCTCCTCTCAGCCTTCTCTTCTTCAGGCGAAACATGCCCAGCTCCTCAAGCCGCTCCTCATAGGGCTTGTCAACATCTCTCTTGAATTGTGGTGCCCAGAATTGCACACAATATTCCAGGTGTGGTCTAACCAAAGCGGAATAGAGGGGAAGCATTACTTCCCTAGATCTAGACACTATGCTCCTATTGATGCAGGCCAAAATCCCATTGGCTTTTTTTGCCGCCACATCACATTGTTGGCTCATGTTTAACTTGTTGTCCACGAGGACTCCAAGATCTTTTTCACATACTGCTCTCGAGCCAGGCACCCCCCTCCCCATTCTATATGTTTGCATTTGTTTTTCCTGCCAAAGTGGAGTATCTTGCATTTGTCACTGTTGAACTTCATTTTGTTAGTTTTGGCCCATCTCTCTAATCTGTCAAGATCGTTTTGAATCCTGGTCCTGTCTTCTGGAGTATTGGCTATCCCTCCCAATTTGGTGTCGTCTGCAAACTTGATGATCTTGCCTTCTAACCCTTCATCTAAGTCATTAATAACCCTATTGTTTTATCCTACTACCGACTGTAGTGTCTTAAATTTCTAAACTTTACTTTCTACGTATTGTTCCCCCTCTTTCGATGTTAGCACCTTATGAAAATCAATAAAGAATATTTAAAACTGAATAATGATTTATATATAATTATAATTATATGTATTACAATATATACATTATAATATTAAGTGTCTTTTTTGCTTTTTTTGGCTTTTTAAGTCCCTTTTGCTGTGTTTTTCAGTGCTTTTATGTGTGATGGTCACTCGTTGGCCTGTGTCTTGTGTCCAAATTTGATGTCAATTCGTCCAGTGGTTTTTGAGTTATGTTAATCCCACAAACGAACATTACATTTTTTAAAATGTATATAGATGTTAGGCATTCAGAGAAAAGGGAACAGCAAAGTTACCTGGATATGGTAAAACAGAATACACAAGAGAAATAGGTATGAGTGATTTTCATTGCCAACTGGCTTGAACAAACAAGAGATAAAAAGCAAGGTTAAACGACAAAGCGTGGTCAGGTCAGGTTAGCTGCTTATATTTGCAAAATCACCCTGCTGGGACTCAACAGGGGCAGCTCACAAAAGGGTGCAAGGCCTATGATACAAAATCTCCAGAAATTAAAAAAATGCAATTTTCTTTCTATTTATATTTTGCCCTGAAATACTTTCTAGTATGATATGGGGCATATTTGTCATGGTTTTTGCTTCCTGGGAATATACCTTATACGTGGTTTGTCCCAAAAGTAATGAGAATAATTTTGTTTTGGGGTTGTTGTAGGTTTTTTCGGGCTATATGGTCATGCTCTAGAGTCTAGAGGCATTCTCTCCTGACGTTTCGCCTGCATCTATGGCAAGCATCCTCAGAGGTAGTGAGGTCCTCATTACCTCTGAGGATGCTTGCCATAGATGCAGGCAAAACGTTAAGAGAGAATGCCTCTAGACTCTAGAGCATGACCATATAGCCCGAAAAACCTACAACAACCCAGTGATTCCGGCCATGAAAGCCTTTGACTATTTTGTTTTTATTGAACAACATGCAATTACAGTTCGAAATAGGCTCCTTGTGATCAAATACAGAGTTTTCAGCATTGCTGCCCCTCTTTATCACAGTGGAGGAAGTCTTCAGTTGAGATATTGTTGAAAGCCTTCGTTGCTGCTACCTGGACATTTCCAACTATCCCAAAATGATATTCTTTGAGGTGGGTTTTGAGCTTGGAGACAGAAATCATATGGAGCCACAGTCAGGCCTATGCGGTGGGTGGGAAAGTGTTCAGAACAGCCTTCGCACAAATAGGTTCATAGTTAAAAAGAAAACCAACCAGTAGGTGGTAGCAATGTTATATATTTCAGAACAAAGTTGTTAATGACCTTAGGTCTGTTGTGAGTTGTATGGTTTTGTTTTACATCCTGTTGCACTGAACACTCAGGAAATTAGGCCATAGAAGAGGAGTCAATAAATATTAGCACTCTGGACCATCAGCAGCATGGTCCCCAACTGTCCTCATTTTACTGCAACAGTCTTTGCGCCCTTCCACACATCCAAGAATATCAAGACAATAAATCCCACAATATCTGCTTTGAACTGGGTTATCTGAGTCCACACTGCCGTATATTCCAGTTCAAAGCAGATAATGTGGGATTTTCTGCCTTGTTATTCTGGGATATAGGGCTGTGTGGAAGGATCCCCAGTCTTTCCTCTGATGCCCCATTTTTTCAGCTGTTTCTTAAATGCTCCAGTTTTTCTTGGTTCTTCCATGTCTTGCAACCTCCCTTAGGTCTCAGGCCAGGCATGTAGCCGGGGGGGGGGGGGGGGGCTTGAGGGGCTTCAGCCCCCCCCCCCCGAAATTCTCATGGTGGTTCACGAAAAGGCCTTACTGGTGCATTATTTAAACTGTTATGTTTATTCATATCATGATCTGATCACCATACTCAATATATCCCATATGCATGGGGGTATTGGGGTAATGATACAAAAGGTTTGCTAGGGTAGACCCTCTTTCACTCAGACTCAGCCCCCCCCCCCGAAACTCAGCCCCCCTCCCAAAACCGCCCCCAAAAACTCACACCCCCCCCGAATCGAAATCCTGGCTACGGGCCTGTCTCAGGCTATACCTATTCCTGAAAAATGGGTTCAAACAGAAAATTTAACCCAGCAGGGGGAAAGAGGAGAAGGGGAAGCATAAAACTTGTCATGGAATCATAAGGCTTGGAAGAGACCCCAGCCCAACCCCATCACGCCATGTAGTCAATCAAATCCCTCTGGACAAATGACCATCCAGCCTCTGTTTTAAAAACCTACAGAAGAGGAGATTCCATCACACACCTAGGCATCATATTCCCGTGTTAAACAGCTCTTACCATCAGGAAGTTAATGTTTAAGAGGTATCTTGTAGTTTGAATCGATTGGTAATCTTGGATCAAGAGCAGCAGAAAATACACTTTTTAAAGAGCAAACAAAGGGATTTCTGAGCAGGATTGACAAAAATGCCTCTAATCAGTTGCTCTTCGCAACTAGAAGAAAACTAATATGTACAGGACCTAGCCACATAGTGCAATCCAATCCTTTGAATACTTATATAATAATAATAATAATAATAATAATAATAATAATAACCCTCAGCTGCTTCAAGAAGATCATGCAGACAGACTACAAGCAGAGGCATCAGATGATTCATTGGAACTTGTGTCACAAATACCATCTGCCTGCGACAAAGAAGCCAGAAAAAGTTACAGAAAATGGACATGTCAAACTACTCTGGGACTTCTGAATTCAGTCTGACAGAGTTTTGGAGCACAATGCTCCTGACCTCACAATCGTGTTAAAAAACAAAGTATTGATCGTCGATGTTGCAATCCCAGGTGACAGCAGGATTGAAGAGAAACAACTGGAAAAGCTGACACGATATGAGGATTTAAAGATCGAACTGCAAAGACTCTGACACAAGCCAGTAAAGATGGTCCCAGTGGTGATCGGCACACTGGGTGCAGCGCCTAAAGACCTTGGCCTGCATTTAAATACAATCGGCACTGACGAAATTACCATCTGCCAGCTGCAGAAGGCCACCTTATTGGGATCTGCACGCATTATTTGTCGATACATTACTCAGTCTTAGACACTTGGGAAGTGTCCGACGTATGATTCAATACAACAGCCAACAGAATGATCTTGTCTGCTGTGGACTCATTTTGTTGTGTTTCTGATAATAATAATAATTTTATTTATCTTCCTGAGGGGACTCAGGGCAGATTCCAACATAACAATGGCAAACATTCAGTACCTACATAAAACACATTATACTGACATAAAATCCCAGAAAAACCTCACACATAAAAGTAACAGTAAAACCTAACATCAAATTGAAAACCTAGCATCAGTAAATTAAACCTGACATCAATAAACTAAACTACACGTAGTCAAACAAAATTCTATAATAACATAAATCTAAACAAAACATCCACACTAGTGTACCACAACCAACAAGGGTTCACCGAACAATGTGGGTTGATTATGTTGTTGTTGGGCTGGTGTGGACCAGAAAGCCTAAATAAAAATAATTCTCAACCAGAGGCCTGGCAATGATCACTCAACCATCTAATCCTCCTCCTCTCCATATGCTAGTGTGCAAAAGTAGTTCTTCGGTTGTTTTTTTTAAGGAGAGGTGGGAGGGGGGCAGCTTTATTTCTTTAGAAAAGGAGTTCCAGAGTTGGGCTGTGACCATGGAGAAGGCCCTCTCTCTCGTTCCCACCAGTCGTGCTTGGGATGGGGGTGGGACCGAGAGCAGGGCCTCCTCTGATGACCACAGTGCCCA